CGGTTCAGTACGTATCTGCCTGATAGCAAGGTGGCGGTGTTTTATGGTGGAGTCAATATTAAGATTCATAAAGACTTGCTGAAGAATGAATGTCCTCACATTGTCGTGGGCACACCCGGTCGAGTGCTTGCTCTTGCCCGGGATAAGGATCTTTCATTAAAGAATGTGAGGCATTTTATCCTTGACGAATGCGATAAGATGCTTGAGTCACTTGGTATGCACTCTTCTTGACATGATTATGTTGGATATATTGTCCATCCCCCTGGTTGTTCTAAAAGCACTACTATCTTTTGTCAGACATGCGGAGGGATGTGCAGGAGATTTTCAAGATGACTCCTCATGATAAACAAGTAATGATGTTCTCTGCAACCCTCAGCAAAGAGATACGACCTGTCTGCAAGAAATTTATGCAAGATGTAATGTCCCATTGCCATTGCTATCTTTGTTTTAAAATCTTGTATTCCTTATTTGATGTCAGTGTAAACTGGGAGTTCATATGCTTAGTTGACACCTTCCGCCCTGCTTTAGCTGCTGGATCCATGGATTCGGGTTCACAATTTAGTTATGCGCAGGATAATCTGGTCCTTGGGGGTATAGGGAATGGGGAAATAGCAAAGCTCTAATTGGGCTTCAGTGGTGTCTGTTGTGTAGTGAAATCTTTATGCTTCAGTTTCTTTTTGTTTCTTTGTTTGGGGTCGCTACTGCTTTGATTGAGGCAGAGTCTTGTGAAGGTCACAAGTTGTCATCATACTGTAAGCGTTCTTTTGGGCTAAATATGCTGAGTTGTAGCTGTTTTCTTGCTGTGACTGCTTAAACTACATCCTCGATGAGGCAAAGCTGGTGGTGGAGGATCTGAGTTTTGAGGCCTATCTATCTACCATCTCTTTTGTACCGGATATGATTTGCTTGAGGAAGGCTTGCTAATACTCTTTAATGTAACATCTGATCCTTTCAGCCAATGGAAATATATGTTGATGATGAAGCCAAGTTGACTCTTCATGGGCTTGTGCAGGTAATTTAATCGAGTCAAAAACCTTTTTTTTTATTTCAATAAAGATTGGTATATTTGTTCAACGATTTTTCAATGTTATTATCATGACAGCACTACATCAAGCTGAGCGAGATGGAGAAAAACCGCAAGTTAAACGATCTTCTTGATGCCTTGGACTTCAATCAAGTTGTCATCTTTGTGAAAAGTGTCAGTAGAGCTGCCGAGCTGAACAAGTTACTGGTTGAATGCAATTTCCCCTCTATATGCATTCACTCTGGCATGTCCCAAGAAGAGAGGTTTGCATTCTTTGCCAACTGTTTTACAACAACTAAAGTACCTGACTTGCATGAGCTCGTGTTGTATGTTCTTTGTCATTCGAGTTTACACAATATGTAGGTTGACTCGTTACAAGGGCTTCAAAGAAGGGCACAAGAGAATTCTTGTAGCTACAGACTTGGTTGGGAGAGGAATCGACATCGAGCGTGTCAACATCGTCATCAACTATGATATGCCAGATTCTGCTGATACTTATCTCCATAGGGTAAGCGATCTCCTTGTCATCCTGAATCCTCTGTAGATTGCTTCTTATGCGGGATCATATATAATATGTTCTGTATTTGTGTTCTGTTGTAGGTTGGCAGAGCTGGTAGGTTTGGCACCAAGGGTCTTGCCATCACATTCGTTTCGTCTGCTGCAGATTCTGATGTCCTTAACCAGGTTCGGAGATCGATCATAAATGCATTCCCCTCGCTGTTTTGTTCATCCAGACTGAACTATCATCGGAGATAGTTTAGTCAGTGGTTGGTCAATCTGTTCCAGGCATAATCATGATTGGATGATATAGCTGATGGTGATTGGAGCTACCCACATGTATAAAATGATTAAAAAAATAGCATGATTAAATCATTTTTAATTACAATTTAGACTAGCAGCTTCTTACCCCAACATTTATCTTAAATGTGTTGACTGTCTCTTAGTTACAGTTGTAATAACTCTGACACAGGGATTTTATATTATGTTTTGTATTTGGTAATTTCAGGTGCAAGAGCGGTCGATACTTCTACCTACAGTAAGTTGTTGTAGAAAACTATACAGAACAAGTAGATCGATACTTCCTCGATGAAATCATTCTAACGCCATGGTTTTCCCCCCCTTCTTCTCAGTGCCATCGTGAGAGCCCTTCTCTTAGTAGCCTCAGCAAATTGGCAGCGTTGAGGGTCGGAGGTTTGCACTATGTCTTGTGCTATGTTATCTTGTACCATTTTGACATAATTTTAGACCATTTTGTAGCATGCTTAAATTATTGGTTGCTGTGTTAGAAGTATTTTGTTTTTTGTTTATTTAACTGTAACCCTCTACGTGAAATTTGTTTTTACCTCATGGATGATGAACATTTTTATTTTAGGGTTTAGGAATATAAAACTTGAAATTGTTTAAAAAACAGAAACCCTCGTTTATCATCCCCCATAAGTATAACGTCAGCCACAGGTAAAAGCATATGTGATGATAATTCATTAAGCTGCTGTGCCTACATGTTACTTGCGAAAAAAACTGTGATGTAGTAGATGTACAATTTTTTAAACCCTAAATCTTAAGCACCATGAAGATTTTCTCTCCGGTTTCGATGGAAGTATTCATTGGGGCCCGTAGGGTTAGTGCAATATTAGATTTACGTAAAAGATGGAATTTTGTCTGCTTGGTCAATCAATCAATCTTTCCAAGATTCGGGTCTTGGTGGTATTAGGTTAGACTGGGTGTGAAACTTGGAAGTTTGATTCCCGGCATCTAATATTGAATAGGCGAGGATAAGGAGGGCCCAAGGGTTTGTGAGGCCAAGTGATAGTAATCGTAATGCAGATTTATATTGTAACTCGGTCAAGTCCGTGTAACATTTACGAATGAAATGATTTTCCTTCGTTATCAGACGTATGATATAAAAAAAATAATATAGGAAACTACTAAATTGAAGTAGGTTAAAAACTTTGATTATAATCATTTACAGTATCATCTTTATATGCAGGGGTGAAGTGCGGTGTTTTACATTTTCTACATTGTACAATTCAAAAAATTCCAAGTTAAAAAAAAGATGTCATTTTTTTACCCAAAAAAAACTTTTCCAAGCTATATGTAGTTGTTAAATCTAAAGAAAAAAATTCTCATTTAAATATGCTAATTTATTGTCATATTCCACATTAAGCAGCTCACACAATCACTTTCCATGTATATCTTTTTTTTTTAGAATTCTAATTAAATTTATAACTTTTGACTTTAAAATTCGTATATTAATCTGAGAAAAAGTTATTGATAAATAAAATGCGAAAATTAAAAAAAGAGAAAAGAAAGAAAAATAAAACAAAGAACACCTTTATTATTACATATCTTCTTGTTTTGTAATAAAAATAATTCATCTATACCAAAAACAATAAAAATATAATTAAAAAAGAAATTTAAAGAAAATAATATATGATGTAAATAAATAAAAATCAAGAGATAATTGACACAGTTTTCATTATTTATTAATTGATTTTATATCTTTAATTTTTTTCCATCATTCTTATAATCATTTTCAATCAATTTTAATCTTTTTAACATTTGTTTACTCGTTTCAACATAAGTAACAAATTCTAACCCAAATTTGGGTAGTCTAGTGGTGAGAGAACATGCAAAGCATGCTCTCACCCGGGTTCAAACCCAAGCGTGGGATGAGGTATTCACCTCAGTTTTCCCAATCTTTTGAGAGATATAGTCGGACCAAAGGTTAGGTGAACTTTTGGATTATCAAAAAAAAAAAAAACAAATTCTTTTTCAACCCTAACACGTACACGTTGGAATGAAGATGGAATCGGTTCTCTATACTCCTTCGAATAAGACCGATCATCCAATTCTTGTGCTTGGCAACGTACGAGCCGCCTCGAGCACTGGTGTGGTGATCAATACTCAATAGGTTCGGTTTGGTATTTATTTTTCCCATTTCGGGCCATTCAATTCAATAAAATAATATATCTATGTTATTATTATGAATGAAACACCCACTTTTTATGTGTAATGTGAGTTTTCATTCTATCCTCACGAATAGTATTTGCATAATATTATAAACTTGAGAGGGAATTTATGGAGGTTGGGGGCTATGAAACAGCTGACTTCTCACGACAATGAAACAAACAACCTTGGCGAAACATACAATGGACTTCCGAAGCTTTCCCACAAGCACGAAACTGTGTAGCAAAACTGCAGAAACTCAGTAGAGCTTTATTCTGGTCTCAATGAAGCTTCGGCAAATCGGGCACGTCTCAAGATCTTGCCCACAGCCACAGCAAGTCTGCAAAACCGACCAAATCGTCAAACAAGAACCGGCAAAAACGTGGGAAGAACCAGCGATTCAATCCTTACCTGATGCCCACAACCAAAGGCCATGTCTTTTGGATCGGTCAGGCAAATGGGGCAGTCCTGTCAAAAACCAAAACCCGGATACAGAAAACGTTGTCATACAGTGACAAGAGATCATATGATTGCGTGACTTTGGAGATGGAATAAAAAAATACGTTGTTATCTGTGCGTAAGTTCACGGGAGGACGGGCAGTCGATGATGGAGCGCTCGGAGTGTAGTTGTTGTGTGGCTGAGTTGGTTTAGGAGGGTTGAAAGAAGACGTGCCATAGACAGGAGGCGGAAGAGGAATCCGGTCTATACCCTTTCCTCGACGAGCTCTATCGTATTTTTTGACAGGGAATACATGTTAATGACATGGTCAGACTATTTTCCCAGCACAAGGGAAAGCATGACAAAGGTTGAAAATCTTACCCCAATAAGTTGAGCTCAAGGGTTGCCTTGTACTGAGACGGTATCTCCATCAACGCTGCAAGAGCAAAAGCAGCTTCTTTTCTTGATCGGTCAACGTTCTTCGACATAATCTCTGTGAAATTAACAAACTGCAGAGACAAAACAGAACGTTAACGGATTCTTGATAAGGCGGGTTCCAAGAAGTTCCTGCAAGATGACAAGTAAATGCTCAATCCGGGACTATACATGCCTGGAAGTTGTCAAATGCCCGAGAAGGGATATTGTCGTCGAATTGTTTCATCATGTCCCATGGGCCATCTCCAACTCCGACCAATACTATCGATAATGGGTACTCACTGCAGTTTACAAGGATCTAAGAATGTGATTTGATCTTTCAGAAGAGGATCATAACATTGTTGCAAATAAGCCGCACGAATATTTTCACCTGGCTTTAACGATTGCTTCTACGGTGCTTTTCTCTTGTGGACTCAGTTGTCCGTGTTCGGTATCAACACTTCGGGTCACCTTTGAAACCCAAATGGACAAAATTCAAACGAAACAGAAGATAATGAAGGAAAAGAAGATTTTCGGAATCATGAGACAGCTAGTTTTCAGAAATAAAATAGAGAATTTCAGATTAAATTATAAGATGAGTATAGATGAATTACCTGCCCATCTGCTATAATGAGTAAAACATGGTACTGACCACCGCTTTGTTCAACTATCGTGATTGCCATTTCAATGACGGGAGCAAAAGACGTGGGTCCTATACACGAAACAAACATTATAGAGCTAAACAACAAAAAGAAGAAAACAGAAACAGTTAAAGAATAGAAAAGAGGGCAATCAGCTTGAACCTGCAAGTCTAAGATGTGGAACAAGTTCCCGGTATCGGCTAAGCACTTCTTCGAAACCGTTGCAAAATCTTTCATCGGGATAAAAGCTAAAAACTTCTTGATCGTGGGTCGATGCTGCAAAAGTTTTAGAATCAAGTCTTTAAAATTTCATCCTCAAGGTGATAAAATCGAAACAAGACAATGTTGAAGACTCTTTTTGGATCATATACCATCTCCGAATCCAAAGCAAGGAATTAAGTTATCTTCATCAAAGGACGACAACGTTTTCCCGACAATAGCTATTGCTTCTTCGTAAGGATTTTGACTGTCCCCAATGTGATGCAAACTTCTTCGGTTGAATGACCTTGCACCTAATGTAAATACAGTTAAACCCATCTTCCCAAGGTCGCGAAGAAACGGGACAAACCTACATATGTGACCAAACCTGTCCACTCGTTGCTCTTTGTGAAATCAATACCGACAATGAGATTCGAAGATTCCAAACCGGCACGTGCCAATGCCTCTGTAACCTATTGAAATACCAATTCAATCATGTAAAGATGGAAAAGAAAAGAGCATCGGCAAACCTTATAAGGTCCAATATAGAGGCTAGCACCACACCATACTTATCCGGGCAAATAATTTAAGCAAAATACAAAAAATATAAGGAAAAGGGTGCTATAGGGAAGTAGTTTACAGGTATTCTCATCGACTTACTTGGTCCAGGCTACTGTAATCATCATTTATCTTTGAATACTTCCTCTCCAACTTCTTTTTAGAAGCTGGAACTTGGCCACTGAAGCTTGGAGTTGGAGCATCATAATGTGATGGTGTTCCATAGTATTGGCTCGGATCATATGCTGGCTGCGAGTAGCTGTGATGACTTTGTTGATATGAAGCAGACCCTATAGATGAACTTCTCAGAGATGAATTTCGTTTTGAAAGCTTCCCACCCATCAGCTCGCCCACTCAAAAGAATTACTCTGGGGCATCCAAGAGATGTAAAACCAGTTTCAGATGGCAAAGGAGACCAAGAAATGTAATAGCCTCGAAAAGGTTTACACCCAGAATTCCAAAGTCTTCTATGGATGCATTGTTAACAATGTTTGAATATTCACAAACAAAACAATCAGGGTGCATCACATGATTTTACTGAATCACACATATGAGATGATGTAACATTTAATTAGATTATAAGGAGAGACCGAAGGATTCAGTGGACCAAAATCAAACAAAACAAAGTGTCCCTGGTCTTGAAGAAGTCAACAAAAGGTTCAAGAGGATGGATCCCACTTGGCTCGGAGCGTCCTTTCGACGGTATTTTCACAGATTTTCGGATACTTCAATGATCACCATATTCCGTCTCAATCAAGATGTCGAATTTGAGCTCAATGAATGAACCACGTTAATATCTGATTCATTCTTCAGTTAGTTCGACATCAAGAACAATGGAGAACCTTAAATAACATGTGTTTTCAGAGTTCCTAACTTAAGTCATCAAGATTTAGTTAAGATTCACAAATAAGGACACTAATTTCAAGAACACAGATTTCTAACCCTCTGAATTCAACGCAGAGAAAGACAAAAACCCAGATTCGTTCTTGTATGAAATCCATAACCTATCTGCGTAAACCCCATCAAATTAACGAATAAAGTTCGTTCCTTTACAAAAGGAGGAAAAATCAGCATATCCCAAATGCCCACCAAGCTCCTCCAAAATTTAGAGACTTTCGCGTCAGAGAAATGCCCTAAAAAAATAAACAAAATGTCTACCGACAGTACCATTACGAGAAGAACTCGTCATACATTTGCAAGCAGCTCGATTTCATCTCAACTTACAGATGGCTAAATGGATAACCACATTCAGAAGCAGACCCACCAAATAGATGATGAGATTCAGCAATTGCTTTCTCATCATGAGAAGAGAAAGGCATCAAGAAAAAGATGCAATACCTTTTAGGAAATATCAAGACATCATATTCCGCAGTGATTCAAATCGTTTTCATGCCAGAGAGTGATGCCCTTGCCTGTAGACACGGACAAAAAAAACAAAAACTGGAGATGAAAAGGATGATGCTTTTTGAGTGGTGATGAGGCAACTGTTGTTGCTTAGTGTTGAAGTTGGTTGCTTCGCAGCAGCTTCCTTTTTGCTAAACAATAGCTTCGATTTTTTTTTTTTTTAGGGTTCAATTCAGTGTGCCCACGGTAAACAAACGGAGATTGATTTGTGAAATTCCCAAAATTTTCCAGAATCCAATCCAAACTTTATAAAAACAAATAAAAGTAATACTAATATTCTTATGACAAACTAAAATTATTAAAGTTTCTAAAAATAACAGTGTTAGAAATTTTATGATACACATTGTACACTGTAATTCAGAAACGAGCTATATTTTTTTTTTGGTAAAATGTGAATCTATTTACTCAAAAAAGTGTTATATTTCGGTTGTAACCGTAATAAGAAAAGCAATTTGTACATCCATGAATGCTTTAACAAAAGACATTTACTAATCTTCCTAGATTGTCAAGGTGGTCGTGTTAGATAGAACCAAACTTGGAGGAGGTGGTTTTTCTGCTGATGAGGACCGGATTGTCCTGTCAGAATTATGTTTCGAACGAGCCGGTCAAGTCTGTGCTTGAGCTGATCGTTTGGCATTCCATGAGAGCGGAATATCCTGTCGTTTCTCTCACGCCATAGCATGTAAGCTGCTGCTTGGAGTGTGATGGCTGTCAAAGTTCGTCGGTGGTGGTTGTACCGATTTTGTCCTTGGTCGGTGGCTTCGATCCAACCCGGCATTAGATGTAACCGGAGTGGCGGTTCTGTCCCTAATCTGTTTGCGAAGTGTAACCATAATGAGGAGCTGAATGAGCATTCGAAGAATAGATGCTGATGAGATTCCTCTTCCGCTGAGCACAGATTACATAGCGTTTCAGCCTGCAATCCCCATCGGTGTAGCCTGTCCTTTGTTGATAACCTGCCCAAGGAAGCTTGCCATTGTATAAGCGCATGTTTGGGTATAGCACGCTTGAACCATACTGCTTTCCACCACGGTACAGTCGGAGAAGGTTGTCTTAGTTGTTTCCAGGTTGTGCCCGTGTTGAAGCTGTTCTTGTATGCCTCTTCTCCTTGCTTCCATAGCGTGTGGTCTTCTTCGTTCGATTCAGTTGGTATTTCCATCGTTGTTAGGACTTCCTGCAGGCGTTGTTCCTGCGGTGATCTTGCCGGCGGGAGGTTCCATCCATGGACGGTTGCTGCTGAGCTGACAGTGGACCCTGATCACCGATGTACTCGATGAGAGGGCCAAGGGTTGTCCAGTCGTCTAGCTAGAAGTGCATGTCATTCGGTTTCCTATCTGCTTCTTAATGAATTTCCTTGCTAGTTCCTTTATCCCTAACAGCTTACAGAAGTTCCAGGTGTGGCGTGGGGAAGGGATGGTCGTCTAATAAGCCTTTCGTTTCAATAGATGTTTCCGAACCTAGGCTACCCATAGCGACCCTGAATTAGCAAACAACATCCACACCAGTTTCAACCTTGTCGCAGTGTTGATGTCCACTAGTTTCCGCAGTCCAAGCCCGCCTTCCTTTTTCGGTAGACAAATGTTTGCCCACGATACTCTATGAACGCCAGAGCTGCCCGATTTCCAGAGGAACTTGGCACATATGCTGTCAATCTGTTTGATCAAGCATTGTGGAAGCAAAAACACAGAACTCCATGAGTTTAATAAACCGTAGATTACAGAGGAATGAGTTGTACCTTGCTCGCATAAGAGAGGAATTTTGATGTCCATGATTGAAGGATAACAAGTGGTTTCCTGTGAAATACTTGTGTTTTTTTGTTTAACATCATATTTTTAAAAACACTCTTAGAAATTCTTTTATAATGTTTAATATTTGCAAAAGTTCCAAAAGTATTTGTCAAACATTGAAATTTCCATTACGTCCGGTTCATGGGTATCCTCAGACAAGTTAGTCACCCGAACAGAATTCTCGTCGTTCCTCCTCCTCCTCCTCATGTCTGAACCCGAGGTTCTTGTCTCTGCTCCTCCTGCCCTCGTGCTCGTGAAACATATGCAGCCTTTCCAGAACCCGAAACAGCGGATACAGATGCTTCTGAAGTCGGGGGCTTGTCAACAAAGGCATCGGATTGTGAAGCGAGATCCTTGTGTACGGACATTTAGATGTCCAGCGGTCACCTTTCTTGTGACATATCCTGCAGACCATGAGAACTGCACAGCTAATTAGCCACCTTAACCAGAATAAGAAAATCAAATGTCATTACCATAGCACCCTCGAGGTGTATCGCTACTTCATATTTTCATAAGACATCATCATCCCATAACACAAAAAGATACAGACTTTCACAAAAAGTAATCACACCTCCATAAATGTAATATCAGATCTAAGACTTTTTCCCAATTCCAATGACTTCAAAGTTCAAACCCAAATCCAACGCCACAATCCACAGTTTTAGCAACACCAACAATCAAATCGCAAAAATATAAGTTTAGGAAACATCCAATTATCCAGAAATCAAAACTAAACAGCAGAATCACAGATAACAAAAAAACACAAATGCCCAAAAAATGAATTTTACCGGGAGCCCTGGGTCGTTCCAAAAGGATGGCGGACTCCATAGTCAGACGGTTTCCGATGTCCTCACGAGCGGCATCGCCGAACTTGGCCCAGCTCCGCCGCTCTACCGCTTCGCTTGCTTATTCAACCGCACCAATGCCAGCTTCTGAACCGGCAATATAGCAAAAATACCCCCACTTTGCTACAAAGACTTTATGACATACCCTTCAAAACCCTAAAATTTTGAAAAAAAAGGAACAAAAAACATAATTAACCTTTCAAAAAAGTAACGTGATACATTTCTCCCACTTACTTAGTCATTTTGAATTCATCTCTCTCGTTCTCACACTTTGATAACTCTCCATTTCTTTCTTAACTTTCTCTCTGTACTGTTATTTTTCTCTCAACTCTTCCATTTTCCTCCTTCTCATTTCATTTTTACACAGAAAAACAAACGAAAAATGATTATTTCGTTGAACATATCTCCGCCGCCGACCTTATATCTTCTTCTTCGTGTGTTGGTCTAAGCCAGAACAAATGACAAAAACTGAAGGTAAGTTCATTAATACAAGAGATTGGTTCGATACATAAACTTTATGTTTTGAGTTTGAGTTTTATGATTTTTAAAGTGAATCGTGTGGTTTTTTATGAAAATGAGACAGATGCATAACAAATCTGACGAAGAATATGCAAGAGGCGCATAATGGAACGGATTGACAACAAAAACAAAGGTACATCACATTGGTTACACCGTTTAAAATTTAATTTTGGTCGCACTGGTCATATAGGCCACACTAGTCTCACTTGTCACATTGGTCACACTGTTCAAAATTTAGTTTTGGTCACACTAGTCACACTAGTCACACTGGTCACACTAGTCACACTGGTCACATTGGTCACACCGAAAATTTTTAAAATTCACACGAAAAAATTTATATTTTTGTGATGGAGGGAGTTTTAAAATTTTTTAAAATATTTAAAATTTTTCCTAGGAAATCGAAAACTGTTGTTCTCTCTCTTCTCATTAATGTTTCTGCAATTGGGGGGGTCAATGGGTATTATGGGAATAACATAGTTATAAGGGTATTTTTTGAAGCCGTTTTTTTTCTTCTTTTTGCAGGGGTAGGCACTGAAGTCTTTGTAGCATAATAGGGGTATTTTTGATAAAATCCCTTCTGAACCCTAGTTATCGTTCTGATCTTGACCTAGTTTCCGTAGTCGTTGAACTTGTACTCGACCACCCTCTTCACACCATTCTTGTCGGGGTAAATAACTTGCTTAGGCGGATGTTAGAAATCAAGGTCGTCCTCTTCGTCCATTTCTCCCCACCAGAACTTGCTCCGCTTCTGCGGTTCCATTTTCTTGATCGCCATGGTCTTTGTTTTTCTGAAACGGGTAATGAAAATCTTGAAGCAGATTTGATTAATCACCCATTTTGAAGCAAACTTAGCAAAGTAAATAATTTTTCTCTTCATCACCAGAATTTCCCAATAGATAAAACGACAAGAGTCAAATTTAAGCCATTATCTTTCACAATCATGATGAAACCTGCTATGAGAAACCCTATGCGAGATTTACTACTTTCTCAATCTAGAAACCCATAATCCATACACTAGCCAAAAAAAACAAATTTAAGAATGAAAAGGGCGAATGCAACTAAAGATTATTCAGATTTGCCCAGAAATGGAAACAAGGCCATGAATAGATTTCTGCAAGTTCTCCCTATTCAAGATCGAGCAGACCAAAATCGGTTGAATCCGAGCGAAACCTCAACATGACAAATCATAACCATAAAATTCCTAAACCACTGAAACCCTAACCCAAAGGGGTAGTTAGCAAACTGTACCAAAACAAAAACGAAATTTACAAAATATCTCACAAAAAATAACTTTTGTATAATATACTTTTTTTTTCTCTAAATACCCAAACGACCCTTTACAGTATTTCTCTACGATTGTGTGATAATCTATCTTTTAAAAATCGGTAAGTTAATCTATTTGATCTTCTTTTTTCTCCAATATTTTCTCTATCTTCTCTATTTCTTATATAGTTTATCTAATCTATTTAAATACTCTTCTCGTTGATTTTTTTCTGTGATATTCTGATCATTTTTTTGTATGCACATAAGGTGTTTGATGAAATGTTTGTACCAGAAAACTGCTGCAGATGACCTGTGATATGTGAAAAATGCCATGCGATCTACGTTAAATGACCTATGGTCTCTGACAGATGACCTATGATATGGCGCAAATGATCTGCGGTCTGCGGCAGGTCATTTGGCCTGCGGACATGCGGTTATCGCCCTATAGACCTGCGGTTATCGCCCTGCGACCTGCGGATATCGTTGTGCGACCTGCGACTATCGTCCTGCGACCTGCGGCTATCGCCCTGCGACCTACGGTTATCATCCTACGACCTCCTGCGATCTGCGGCTATCGCCCTGCGACTTCCTGCGACCTACGGCTATCGCCCTGCGACCTGTGACTGTGATTTCATTACGACTATATAACCACGACTACGACTCACTACGACTCACTATGACTCACTACTACGACCATATAACTACGACTTACTACGACTCACTACGACCATATAACTACGACTACGACTCACTACGACTCACTACGACCATATAACTATGACTACAACTCACTACGGCTCACTATGACTCACTACGACCATATAACTACGACTCACTACGATTCACTATGACCATATAACTATGACTACGACTCATTACGACCATATAACTACGATTACGACCTTCTGTTTTCTCTAATATTTTTTCTATATTCTCTATTTCTTACAGTTTATATCATCAATCACATATTCTTCTGCATCATTTCTTTTTCTATAGTATTCATATGATCATTTTTTGTGACAATCGATCTTTTAGAAAACGGAACGCTTTGTTATTTGATCTTATTTTTTCTCCAATATTTTTTCTATCTTCTCTATTTTTTATATAGTTTATCTAATCTATTCAAATACTCTTCTCGTTGATTTTTTTTGTGATATTCTACTCATTTTTTTGCATGCACATAAGGTGTTTGATGAAATGTCTGTACCAGAAAACTGCGGCAGATAACCTGCGATCTGTGAAAAATGACATGCACTCTGTGTTAAATAACCTATGGTCTCTAGCAGATGACTGTAATATACCGCAAATGATTTGCGGTCTGCGGCAGGTCATTTGGCCTGCGATCGCCCTGCGGACCTGCCGCAAATGATCTGCGGTCTCCAACATTTTCTCTATCTTCTCTATTTCTTACCGTTTATCTAATGTATTTAAATACTCTTCTGGTTGATTTCTTTTTCTGTGATATTCTGATCATTTTTTGTATGCACATAAGGTGTTTGATGAAATGTCTATAAAAGAAAATTGTAGAAGATGACATGCCGTCTGTGAAAAATGACTTACGCTCTGCGGTAAATGACCTACAGCCTACAGCAGCTGACCTACGGTCTGCCAGATGACATGTTGCCTGCAGTAGGTCATCTTTGGCACCTACGGCATCTATCGCACCTGCTAATCTGCAAGTGTTTTTTCTATATTTATATAAGAAAACAAAATCCATATAAGTGTTTTTTCATGTATGTAGAGGA